TAGAAACGTTTACCGTGTACATTGTTAATTTACATATTACTTTAAAGTAATATGTTTCGAAATTATAAGTATCAATACTTTATATATGTGTATCGATACATTTTGTGTGCAAATTGTTTGAAAAACATACTAGAATAAAATTTTCCATACCTATATAAAAGTATCGATACTTAGTATTTATGCCTATTATCAATATACCGTTTTTTTCATATTATTTTTCTTACTATGGAAAACTTAGATTCGAGGTTGTGATGTTCATTTCGAGATCATTGGCTTAGAGGCTTCACATTAGGTTTATAGATTATCATTTAACGGATATTTTATTGCCATAAATGAGGCTGTTTGAGAAAAATATTGTCCTTTTCAGTGATTTTATGGCGAAACTATAATATTGGCATTATATTTTAGGTTGTATTTATTATTATTTTTTTGAAATGTTAGGTAGTATTTATTAAGTTATTCTTTGTTAATATAGCTTGCTAGCTAAGGGATGTTCAGGTGGATGTGAAGGCTGAGCTTTACTTAGCTAGTGTGCATCACCCGCAATGCTGGGTTAGTCTTAAATTACTCCGAGTAAAATAAATGTTTGAGAAAATCTTCCAATATATATATTTATATCGAATATTTATATTCTGGGTTGACTTTGTTTTACTTACATGATAAATATTACTTAGCAAAACCGATCTAGTTCTGGACTTTCTTGATTGTCCTCCATCTCCATTCTTTGTCGAACTTATTTTTAAATAACCATCGAATAAATAAATAAAAACTGTTATAGTTATATTTATGTCAAATAATAAATTTCTTAAAAAATTATTAAAAATGATTAAATTTTAATAATACTTCAAATAATATTTTTATTGATTTACTATTTATGTTTATTTAAATGAAAATTGAAAAGTTAAGAAATAAAGATATTTTCTATAAATATTAAGAAATATATTTTTGTAAAGTATTTAGCAAAAGAACATTATTTCTATTTAGTAAAAGAATAACATAAAGAAAAATGAAATAGAAATTAAATTTATTGTTAAAATTATTTTGACCTTAGAAGTTTGTTTTGGCACGTTTAATCTTAAAAGTTTTAATGTAAAGATAAACTAAATTAAAAAGTGCAATGGGAGATATAACTTAAGAAAAAATATATAATGGAAATGCATTGTGCCAGCTGAACAGAAATATAAAAATAAAAAATAATACCAAATCCAGATGCGTGACAAACAGGCACTGACCCATTACTAAAAGCCCAACTAAAATTTCATGCCAGACGTCAGTAGCAGAACCCCTTGAGGATTCTTTTAATGGTATTGTACTTGCAGATGTACATTTGCATGGAGAACCCTTTCTTGTTTCAAGGGATGAGCTGCTGGAAATAGTTTTAGTTGTTTGTAATTTGGGACTGATGGTTGATAGTTTAGTCATTTTTAAAGGAGATTTGGTTGAAAATCTGCATATTCTTTTGAATTTGAGTTCCAAATAACTCTGTTAGGCCATCATGCCATTGAACAGGTGTGGGTAAGAGTTACCTACTTTTTCGCTTTTCGGATGGCTCATTTACTACAAGTTTTATCACGACAATTGGGTACGTGTTGTCCAATAGCAGTGTCGTGCTCTTATTATTATTGTTATTACGCAAGTGGCACGTGGTTTAATAAGGTTGTGTGTACTTTCGCAGAATTGATTTTAAGATAAGGACTATAGAGCTTGATGGGAAAAGGATCAAGTTGCAAATTTGGGATAGTGCTGGGCAAGAGCGGTTTCGAATAATTACAACTGGTTAGTTTTTGAGATTTGAAGGTGTCACGCTAACTAGAAATGAAAATGAATTGTCTAACATTAAATTAACTTACCTAAAGATTAATTCAATAGCATAAACTGGTCATTTGCACACTAATATTTTCAAATTTAATAGCATCTGTGATTCAAATTTGTTGCTTTGTATTCTCTTTCTGTGTGTTTTTTTGTCTGCTAGGAAGTTGAGAGCTTGCATGCATCAATGGTTTGTTTCAATCGTCTTTTCTTGTTGACAGAAATTAAAAAATTAACTGACTCTATTCTCATATGTAATGGGGTAAGGGGAGGTAGGATAGTAGGCAGCCCCCAACAATTATAAAAATACCCACCGTGGACTCGATCTCACAACCACAAGATTAAAACCTTACGCTCTACCAACAGAAAATTAGGTAATATTTTCCTTTTGTGCAGCTTACTACCGTGGAACCATGGGTATTTTGCTCGGGTATGATGTGACTGATGAATCATCTTTCAATAGTAATTCTTGAACTTTGGATTTTGTACATCTGATGTTTAATCTTATCCCATTTCCTGCAATGTTGAAAGTTGCAAGTATACATCCTATCCAGTGATTTGAAAAATTTAGTCATTCTCCATTATAATCACCTATCAACTCAACTAATATTCGTCTTTTTCTTAGACATTAGAAATTGGATTCGTAATATCGAACAACATGCTTCGGGCAACTTCAACAAGACTCTGGTTGGTAATAAGGCCGACATGGATGAAAGAAAAAGGGTCTGTTCTTTTCCTCTTAAATGCATTTTTGGTTACCCTTCTGTTTCCAATGTGGATCAGGAACTTATTTTTCAGGCCGTTCCTACCTCAAAGGGCCAAGCTCTTGCCGATGAATACGGCATCAAGTTCTTTGAGACTGTATGTAATTTTTCTGCTGATGCATTTTTTCTGCTGATGCTGTAGTTACTTCTGATGTTTAGTTGATATTTCCTGCATGATCAAGAGTTATTCTCATCTTGCAGAGTGCAAAACCAAACTTAAATGTGGAGGAAGTTTTCTTTTCAATAGCCAGGGACATTAAGCAAAGACTTACCAACACCGACGCAAAGGCCGAGGTATTGACCCGTTTGCTTGAACTATCAACTTTTTTCACAGCATATATGCCTAGTGATGTTTATGGTAACTCATGTGCGTATATTGTTTTCATTTTTATTTGTCGTTTTCTTGTCTCTTACGCCACAGGCAATCAAAATTAGCCAACAAGATCAGGAGCCGGAGATGCGGCGGCTTCTCAAAAATCGACTTGCTGTGGGGCTTGATCAAATGATGAGATCTCAAGGGTACATTTTGATCCAGGAAAACTAATTTGTTACAACTATTTTTGTTTATATTCTCCTGGCTATCATTAGTTTACATGAAAGGAATTCAAGCTAATCCTTTACCATTACAAAGGATGAATCGCGTCATCACGTTTATCTTAAAAGTTTTCAACTTTCAAGTGTTAAATATTTAGTTCTTCAACTTGCGTTTTAAAGATTAACAGAATCCAAATCTATTGGTGTATAAGTATCCATTACTGATTATTTCATAAACAGGGGATGACACTTGCACTATATCCGAATTGGTTATGTAGTGCTTAATCAAAGACGATAACGATATCTTTATCTATTCCTTTATGACCAAAAGCAACACTTGGAATTATCTTTCAACATTGACTCATTAGGTTTAAGTGGCAGTCAGTGTTGATCATTGAGACTCATTAGACCCACATTTCATTATTGTGGTTTTCAGGAGTTAGTGCATCAATCGGATGGCAGAAGGAAACGAGTATTTTAGCAAGTGGAAGAGGTCAGTAAGGCTTTTTGTTTACCTTTTCTTTTTATCTTCATGGACTGGTCCTCCTTGTGTGAAGAATTCAACAAAAGAGTGAACGGTAAAGCCGAAGAAAGATATCTGGCAGAGATGAAAGATATCCGACAGATTTTGATGTTGGAACAAAGAGAAAAGAAATTTTAATGGAGATCTGATTTTCAGCACAAAGTTTTTTCGTCGTGTTTTTGGATTAGTGGAATATGCATAAGCAAAAAAAAAAAAAAAATCCCAAACAAATGGCTCACCTCAGACTCGTGTATGGGCTACACAAACATGTTCATTGATGTAGAAAGGTAAAATGTGGTGTTGGATCAATATTCACATGAGAAATTGTATTACTATTTACTAGACACGGGCAAAGTCAAAACTGCCACCTATGGTCAGCTTCACTCATTTTTTTATTTTCTTTTTTTCTAGTATGATCTGATGTGTTAAAGTTAATTTATTTTTTATTAAAAGGAAATTTTGTTTGACATCTAACTTAACGATTCATTATTATACTGTTTAATTTAATAAGAAATAAAAAATTAACTATCAGAAGAAGATGTAATAAAGATTTAATGATTAATATGACATAATAGATTGATTTATATCAACCAACAATCAATTGGTTTAACGTCATTAGATTCTTTAAACAATGTCAGAGGTTTGAGTCATGACGTTTACGAATGAAGTAAGCTAGTTGGAAAGATCGTTCCCATGATAAACTTTTACAAAATCCGATATGGTTTAATTAATTAATACATACTAGTTTGAAAAGTTGATTGATATGAATAAGTGTATTGACCCATTTCCTGAGATTGTCATTGCCTACCAAAACCAAATATCCAAAAGGATGGAAGTAGAAATGGGAAAAAAAGCCAATGTTAATAAGACATTGAAGGGGCCAGGGGGTTGTCATGTGAGAGTGGATGTCTAAAGGCACTCAACTGAGGACGGGAATCTCTTTAATTCATTGCAAACTCTTACGTTATATCCATGGAGTAACGCAAAGCAGTCACGAAACACTTTAAACGATAGCTTTTTGAGAGAAAATTACAAATACAGTAACTCTTCCACCACCATTTTATTGACTCATCCACCACGCAAAGCAACCATCCCAAATATTATTATTATTATTATTCAAGGAATGAGTGGTTTTAGTTGTTTAGGATGATTTATTCGATTTAAGTAGCGATGTCTGATATCGAGTGAAAATTAATATTAGAATAATTTAAATTTTTAAAATAAAAAATAGAGGAATGAAAAACTTTGGACATGTATCACATAAGTAATAGTTAAATAAATGTTTTTGAAACAGAGAGACGCAAGTAACGGGGTGTCAAAAGTGGATCAAACAATATAAATAGCAACAACAGACACCAAAAATACCTCATGAGTTCATCACCTCGTTAAACTTTTTCTGTTCCATAAGTTCTTATTTACAAAAAATGGAGAACCAAGAACATGGTTCATCAGCAGGCAAGTACAAGCCATTTTTAGCTGCAATCCTCTTGCAAGTTGGGTATGCAGGGATGGATATCTTGTCTAAGGCTGCATTAAACCAGGGTATGAGCAATTACGCACTCGTCGTTTACCGACACGCCATTGCCACCGTTGTCATGGCTCCTTTTGCGGCTTTACTCGACAAGTATTTTTTCTTCTTCTTTCAATCTCTCTGGCATAAGAAAAAAACAGTCATGTAAATCATTTTCTTTTAACTGACATGGAAGTTGAAACTTTGTTGTTTGATAGGAAAGTGAGGCCTAAGATGACAATATCAATCTTCATCAAAATAATGCTGCTAGGCTTACTGGAGTAACAATCCGGAAATTTTCATTTTTTGCGGTTTTCGACATCGTATGATATGACATCTAATGTTGATGTATGCACTTTGGCAGGCCGGTAATTGACCAAAACTTGTATTATCTAGGGATGAAATATACGACCGCAACGTTTGCAACTGCCATGTACAATATTCTTCCAGCCATTACTTTCGTTATGGCTTGGATTTTAAGGTAAAACAAGAAGAACAATTCCGTAAATCGACGGTTTCGTTCATACAAGATGTGTAAAAAAGTTCAATCATGTGGTTTTAGGCTTGAGAAGGTGAACTTAAGATCGATACGTAGCCATGGAAAGCTTATAGGAACACTTGCAACAGTTGCAGGAGCGATGGTGATGACACTGATGAAAGGACCCGTGCTCGAGTTGTTTTGGATGAAAGGAAGGATCAACCACGAAGCAGCGGCAAAAAACGGGACGGATCTCCACGATTCGATTAAAGGTGGTATACTGATTACAGTTGGTTGCTTCAGCTATGCTTGTTTTGTCATACTCCAAGTAAGTAATATACATACAAAATTCTGCAGTGATATTTGTTCATTGATTTGGTTAATCATAAGTTATGTGTGTGTGTTTTCACAGGCAATCACTCTTGAAACGTACCCTGCAGACCTTTCTCTAACAGTTTGGATATGCCTGGTGGGCACCCTTGAAGGTACCATTGCAGCTTTGATAATGGAAAAGGGAGATGCTGCCATTTGGGCTATTAAATGGGACACCAGGTTGCTCACTGCTGCATACAGTGTAAGAATAGATGTCGATCGTTTACCGATTGGAACCGGTAACTTTGTCCGGAACAACAACTTGACTATGATCATTTACGTTATGGTTATTCTCTGATATATGAAAATGGAATGGTTGCAGGGTATTGTATGTTCAGGAGTTAGTTATTACGTTCAAGGGATGATAATGAAAGAGAGAGGTCCAGTGTTTGTGACAGCTTTCAGTCCCTTGTGCATGGTTATTGTAGCCATTATGTCGTCTTTCATTCTTGCTGAACAAATGTTTCTCGGAAGGTAATCTCTGAATTCAGATGGACGGAAAGGACTGATACCCTTGTTAAATTCTTATAATTTTATAAGTTTACTCTCCAAATATAAAATCATATGTTCGTTCATGTCTGAATTCATATCTAGTTGTTAGGACTTAGGATATCAGAAAAAAAGCATGACATAATGTTCGACAGGGTGATTGGAGCCATAATTATAATCGGGGGTCTATATCTGGTGCTGTGGGGTAAAAGCAAGGATTACAAGTCGCCACCATCGCCATTGATCGAAGCAGCTAAAATAGAACCGGGTAGGATGGACAAGAGCAGTTTTGATGATGAGGGCATCACGGTTGAAGAGAAATTCCATTCGATAATTGTGTAGAAGAATGGATATGATTTTGAATATTAACATCATTTCCACTACCCTCACTGGTAGTGGTATCTGCTTCAAGTGTAACTATATATGCTTTTGTATAATAAAATATTATGACTAAGATCATGAATCTGGACTCTATCCCCAGCGGATACACCATCTGTAATCATTAAGCTTCAAGGAGCTCCTTTTTTAAAGACATTTCACTGAATCAATCAAACTAGATCTATTTTTCAATTTTATTCAGTGTATTTTTTTAATCTTTTCTTTATATATATATATCAAATAAAAATTAAATATATAATATTTAAATTGTTTGGATTTAAAAATATAAACAGATTGCACGAACCAATTTACCTCAATGATTAAAAGAGTCGTTGTTGATAAGCATTGCCAGATAACTTGAGGAACACCATTACAGCAGATCAACCGTGGAAAATCTATTCAAAGCCCACTGAAGAATTCTAAATAAGATTTGGTGGAAGGTTTAGTTTCGGAGCCAGCGCATGGGGATGACCCAATACCCAAAGAAGAAAGTCGGTCCATTTCATTTGAGTCCTTCAACATGTCAATGTGTGTTTTACAGATAATTGACACTAGAAGAGACCACTTCTCGATTATAATTAAGAAAATGGGGGAAAATATTGATCTTTTCCGTTTGGAGATCAGTTCGATATATTATTTTGAGTCAAACAAAGAGTAATATGAATCATGATTCAGTGATATGTATAGAATTTTGCATATTTTTAATATTATTTTTTGCTTTTCATTTGAATATTATTGATTCGTAATTTTTTGGATTTGTTTTTTTTATTAAGAACTTCATTGGATTAATCAGCTCAAAACCAGCTATTAAAGGTAGAATTTGAAGTTAACTGGAATTCATTGGATTTTTTAGTTATTTTATATTTAGGACTCTCGAGAATAAATTTCATGTTCAACCTTTGAACACAAATTGAATTTGATTATTTTTCTCGGTGTTAATAGAATTCTATTTTATTTCATCTTTTACTTCTTCCATTATTTTCTTTTTATTATGTTAAGCATGATTTAATTGTTTAGCTAAATTTTCACTTAGTTTAGAGCTTTACATGACTCAATTATAATCGTGAGAGACGAATAGCACTTCACAATTTCATATTGTATTATTTGTTTTTCTAAAAATTGGGAGTAGTAATGGGACATTTCTTTAATGTTACTATATCTTCAATTCAAAAATATGTTGTTGGCTTTACAATTCAAAAAGACGTAAAGACATCGTTGGTTTAAAAGTTATTTTGGCTTACGGTTTGGAAGTCGAATTAGTTGGTTGTAATTCAGTTTCATGTGAACAGACTTAATGGTTGTCTATTAAGAGAAATCAAGATTGAGTTCGATTCTCAGTGAGATGCTATAACTCGAGTTGGGTAAAGTTGTATTGGTGCTAAAAGCAATGTATATGGCTAGACCAAGAAAAATCGAATTTCATAGATAACTTAAAAATTTTGATTGACCAAAGATAAGAATTATCTGCAGGAATTGAGCAACATATTTACATTCAAAAAGAAAAATTATTTCGATAATCAATCAAAATTAAGACTAGCAAAGCCAAAAACTATCTCATCACTACTGAATTCTTTTATCAATGTTTACTTTTATTATTTTCATTATTTTTCGTTTATCGTTTATTTTTATCTTATCACTTTCATTATTATTAAAACACTTTTTTTCCAGATTACTCAATTTAGGAAACGATGTCGTAAAATTTCTTAGTTCTTGTGTATCAATCTTACTCCTCTGTACTAATTTCATTATTTATTTAAGAATAAAATTTATTTATTTGACAATTTCAGTACTTGTCACATAGTCACAAATTATCTTTGCTAGCGCTACCCTACATGTAGACCCAAAAGAAGAAATAGCCAAAAAAAAAATAAATTCAATAAGACTTATTCATCAATGATTAATAACATTGTTAATCAAAGTTGTTTCTCTGCAAACACTTTCACTTTTTTTCATTTACATTTTTCTCTTTAACCCATGTATTCTTTTCTGTACTTAATACAAATGAAACAAAAACAAAGCTGAAAAAACCTTCTCTTCCAGTTAAACAAAAAATAAGCATGGGTTTCAAACCCCCTGTGGCTGCTGCTTCATCTGTCTGCACATATTTACATTGAGATCATTGCTATGTCAAAAATATCAGGAATGACCACCAAAACCCACTTCCAATTCTTCTTCTTCCTACTTCAAGCACCGGGAAATGCATCTGCTGTCGTCATCGACAACACAAGTGTCACGTTAGTCCACCCAGAGCATCAATTCAGCTGTAACTTTGAATTTTAGTTGCATTTATGCAGAGCTTTGTGCTCTGGGAACTACCAACAGTTCCTCAGCTTGGACCTTTCCCCCACAAGTTGAAGTCACAGATTTCGACGAAAACCTCGGAGGGCATGATCTAGCAGTAGGTATTTGCTTGTTCGATAAATCCATTTCGACCGAGAAGAGAGAATAAACCGGTCTATGATCCGAGAACCTACACTCTCCTCTCGAGTACCAAACCTGCTTAAGTCCTTCACCTCTCCATAGGATCCTATCACACCTGCAATCATTTTCAAGCCATTCCTTAAGTTCTTTTTCTTCACATGGATAAGTTCTTGACGTCGTATATTATCTATAAATATTTTACTTACCCACGAACAAGGAAACATTAATAATGATTAAACTAAATGAAGACTCGGCATATGTCAATGGTTAAGGTTTCACCACTCACATGTATTAGCAATATCATCTAATTAAACATGGTCGGTTATTTAAGGTCACTATTTATTCAAAGGAACAAGACAAATCTCAGACTTGCCGACCGGTTTATAATTAATCTCAACAGTAGTCGAAAATTTTGTTTAAGATTTAGCTAAACTAGATTAATGATGCAAATGATAATCATCTTTCTGCCCTTTGCCTACGCAATCAGATTCCTTAAAATAATAGGAAACGTGCTCCTTGTATATTGAAAATTGATTTGCTAATGGTATCAGTGTTCCCCAACATAGCTTTGTTTGTTCTGAGGAGATGATAATACTAATTAATCATAGTGGATGAAATTTTAATTATGAACAACTAAGATTAGTCTGTAGTCATGTTCTGAGGGTCGGCAAGTTCTATTAAAAATCTAATAAACAATGCAAAAATATATTCAAATCCTGTAAAATATTAATAGGAATAGTATTTTAAAAGAGTGATACTTCCAACAAGCAACATTAAAGAATGCACAACTTGGAATTAATTTAATTCCTATGGATTAATAAATTGAGGTGAAAGGAACATAAATGTGAACTCTTACCAGGCAGGGATTCGTCGTTTTTCTTTCGAGTTAGATGTTTGGACGACATAGTCGTCAGAGTCGGCGAGATATTTGTAAGTCGGAGCGAAGTATATCTTGCCTTCTTCCCATCCGGAAAACACCCGACCCACCCTTTGTTCGACCCTTAGCTGCCAAGCAACGAGGGAAATGTAACATGTTAGATCTTGAGATAAACAACAAAGAAAATCAAGGTCAACTATCTATTTTCTCTGTTTCACATGACAATGGTGCCAAAGCAAAGAGATAAACAAATCTGACATCTTGTCTGAAGAAGAAAAAGAAACTTATGTAGATTAGCCTCTCACCTGATCCTTCTCTAGAAGCGCTTGCCAGTCATTCTTGTTCAATAAATCAAGTGTATCAGCACAACCTGGAGCAAGCCGATAGTTCAAATCTCCTAACCAAATTACCTTACTGAACAGATACAAATAAGGAAAAAAACGTTAGAGATCAAACAAAAAAGTGTGAAAAGTTAATGGATGATTTTAGTGAAGGGGCATACTCATGATCTAAAATGCTCCGTGGGGGACATGGACGACCAATATCTCTAAACGAATGTGAAAACCTTGTTCTCTTTAATACTTCAGCAACATCGGAATTTCTTCGGATCTCATCCCCTTTTTTCTCCCCGGAAGTCAGGTGGGTACAAACAAAGCAAAACGTCGTTTGGTGCAATGTCATGCTAATGGATATCGAACCCTGTTACCAAATAATTAAAAGAAGCTATAGTTAATACAATTGCATTCCTGACATGTAAACAACAGTGTAGAATAAGTGCAACTGCTGACCTTGTTTCCAAGATATCCCATGATGCCACGGCCAACACATGAGACTTTCATATTGCTGACATGCTTGTAAAGATCAGATCGAACCCATATGCACAAGAAAAGCCCTACCATTTGCTTGCTGGCAGCTAGGCAGAAGCGCTGCTGGGTCGGACTGCTAGACACGTAAGTCGGGCTAGAAGTGCTTTCCTCGACGGAACCTGAATTGAAACTTAGCAATCTTTCAAAATCCTCTTGGCCAAGTTCATCTTCCATCGAGAGTAGATCACTAAAACTGATCCTAGGCTTCGGGCTTGCTTTCTGCTCAAGGTGTAGCGAAGATGGACTGCTTTCTTCAGTGGCATTGCTGTCACGTTGAGCAAGCTCTTGGTCACTTTGGTCGGAATTCAAAGCTTCACGAATAAGGGAAATCCATTTGGCAGCCGGTTCGTTGTCCTCGGCTCCAAGCACATTGCCGGCATTTAGACGAACGATTTCCTGGAACCTAACAGGTTAAAAATATCCGGTTCATCAAATCATTCCAATATACTACAATGATGGTTTTTCTAAATGAAAATTTTCAATGATACAGCAATTTGGAGTAAATGGAAGAAAGAGTTTACCCAAGAACGTAGATATCAGCCGAGCCTAGCCAATCCCTTATGTTCAAACCCTCGTGGGGCGACTTTCCACCCACATTCCATGTCCCTACAAACATCCTGAAAACCCCAAAAGCAACTATCTTCAACTTCAATAATTCTAGTTTAACATAGCATAGACAAATTCTAAAAGTGTGAATCGAAGTACTTAACCTGAGGTTGAGTGAATCGGCAACAGGTGGCGGCTCCGGCATACTACTCACCGATTTAATCCCTCCGGCGGTTTCCATCAACCATCCATCTGTAAAAAGTAAAATCTAAGTACTAGTTCTTGCTACAGCCAAAAGTCAAATCTTGGCCGTCACGTGGCATAGAATTTAAAGCTCTTGATCAATCAAAAACCAACTGATCAGAATGTCCAATCAAAAAGAAATCACATCCGTCAAACTGACGGCTCTGGGAAATACGATAATCCCTGTCACAGATATCTCATCTTTTCACGAAAATCAGTACGAATTACAATAAATAGTAATATTTTTACCTGAGAAATTTTCCTGGTCAGAGCAACTCTTTAATCTTTCATCAGTTTCGACTGTCAAAAAGAGAAACATGGATTGTTTGCTATTTGAATCCAAAACGAAATCCATGGAGAAAATTCTCAAGCGAAATTCGGGATGGGGTTTTACCGTTCATGCCGTAATCTGACTGAAATTCGTCAGCTCCACTCGGTATATTCAGCCATTTCCGAACGATTAATTTAGGCCACGAAGACTGTATAACAAACAACAAAACAAAACAAAGATTCATAATTTCAGCTACCCATTAATCAAAATCTGACGAAGGATAAATCGGAGAAGAAAGAAAAGGCGCGCGTACCTTGTAGTTTTTTCTCTTATCTGTTTTCATTGCTGATCAACCGCCTGAGCACACGGAAAATTTAAAATTTAGATCAAAACACAAGTTGGCAGATTTTTATATCAGATCATTGATTAAACATCAATTTTAAATGCAAAGATATTTCAGGAAAAATATATTATTTCTGTGAATTAAATACAGAAAGTGATCAATAAAAAAGAAGAAGAAAAACGGAGAAATTCAACGGAATATAAAAGAACTAGTTGCAGGGGAAATGGAGACAGCTTCCAATGAAGCAACGTAGACGGAAAAGAAAATACTTAAAAAAGAAAGGAAGCGTAGTACATCAATTATAATATAAAGGAAAATGGAGATGGATGAATAGGCCAGGTTCATCGTTTTCCGTCAATATTGGGTTTTAGAAAAAGGCTTTAAAGCTTTTAGCCGTCTTTACAGAGAGGATTACAGGGTAGAAAAAGGGTAAATTATAAGCTTTTCGGCTAAAAAATCTGGGAATAGTTTGGCATTTTATCGGTACGTTTGTACTTAACCAAAAGAAGAAAAGAGAAACTAATTTTCTTGGAACTTTGTATACATCGGCACCATTGCATGATTCGGATAGATCAAGAGAACGAGGGAAAATGGATTTAAAGCTGAAAACTCAATCATGAAACGCAAGTAGAAAGCGAAAGATGATTGAGGTATTTAATCTGAATTGTTATTGAAGGACATGAAGATAGTGAAATGAAAGGAACTTAACGACGATCTGAAGATAAGGTCATTACCTCATGTTTGGAAGATGGGGAGATTGAGAGGGGATAAATGACAGAGAAAAAAACAGAGTTCCCACAACGCGGCCGGCCAATGAAATAAAGGGATCCTTTTATTGCAAACATATGGGGGTCACTCAATGCTATTGTTAATAATTTAGAGAAAACCCAACAAACGTGAAACTCAAAAAGAAGTAACAATTGATGCACATGACAAACAAAAGGGAAGAGCAACAAAATCAAAATGAAAAACCCAGATTACAAAAGTTGAGAAACACTTAACAAGTTTTATGAGCTAGAAAGTAGATAAAAAGGGAATAGAGATGGTGAAGTTTCAGAGACTGAAAATCCACTCTTTTTCCACCAACTTTATTTCTTTTTCGTTGATGTTTCTTTGTTCCGACTGTAGAGCATTTAGTTTAGAGTTGATGGAAGTTTAAGGAAAAGAAATTGCAGAGCGAAGTTGTTGGGGAGAGTTCTCCTCGTAAAAAGCAAAAGTGGCGGTTGCATCCCAAACTTATAAGTGCTGGGGAAGAAAAGGAGAGAAACACTTAAAAAAGAAAAAGAATAGTTTCAGTCAGAAACGAAGCCTAACTTTGAAGTCCAAAGTCTAAGCTACTGTACATCTTTCTGATTTGAATCAGCTAACTCGTTCCTAATAATAATAATAATAATAATAATAATAATAATAATGGTATAATATTTTACGGTAAAACTTTCGAGATAATGTTCTGGAAAAAAATAATTCACGAGATAAAGCACTTCCAAAATTAATTGCTCAAATAAGGTGAAATCCACAGTGTTGGTCGTAGGTCGTCATGCCTTCGGGGCGACCTACTAGGTCGCCATGTCTTCCCGGCGAGCTACAAGAGATTACATGTGCATGCACGTCCCAACACGCTGGGCATATGAGGCCATCCGACCGAGGCCATCCGAGAGCATCCGAGGCCATCCGACCGAGGCCATCCGAACGAGCTATGCGAGGGCATCCGAGGGCAACCGAGCGAGCTATGCGAGGAATCCGAGGGAAGCTGAGCGAGGGTAGGTCGCCCGGAGTGCATGGCGACCTACAAGGTCGCCATGAGGGCATGGCGACCTATGTGTTGGGACGTGCATGTGCCATGCAACACGTTCATTCTCTCTGTTTGAGCAAGGGTAGGTCGCCCGGAGTGCATGGCGACCTACGGCCAACACTGTGGATTTCACCCTATTTGAGCAATTAATCTTGGGAGTGCATTAGCTCGTGAATTAATTTCTTTCAGAACATTATCTCGAAAGTTTTGCCAATTTTTTACCTTCGTTAAATATTTTTTTAACAGTGTATGTTAATCATAATTTTTTAATTTTTTAATAATATTATAAACTCAATTATTTAAACTCAAATTTTTTTAAAAAATGTTATTCTATTTTATAACCGAACTATTTGATAAGTTCATTTTATTAAATATTTTTAATTTAATCTCTCGCTTTTTTTGTATAATAAAATTTAGGTTAGGAGTGACTCTCATAATCTAAGGTCAGGGCATACCTAAGACTCAATTATGATTTACATAGGAATTTATAGATTGTCCACTAAGAGTGACAGTGATATGATTCAAACTTGGTCTTACAAGTTTAAATTTCTGAATCTCAACCACTTGTACCAACATTCATTAACTTTTTAATTTAATCTTTAAATTTTAGAATTTATAAATAATCTTAATATTGAAAAGAAGTGTTACATTTTTTAGAGATCTCAATTTCAAACAATTACATCAGTAAAGTATACATTGTTAATAGATTAATGAAATCTTAAGCAGTTATTACATTATAGTCACTCGAATTATTTTAAAATCTTTAAATTTTAAATTTTTTTAATTCACATATATCTTTAATAATCTTTAAAATTTTAATTATCTATTAATTTAATCTTGAAATTTCACATTTTTAATTCACTGGGAAAAAATGTCAATATCAACCATATATTTTCACTCATCCAACGATTCTGAATCTGTGTAAAACTAAAAGCGTTTTACATTATGTAACAAGATCTTATCTCATATATTATATTTATTATCTATTCAGGATTTACACACTTCCGGGTAAATAAGTGGCGTTTATCCCGAAAATCACCTTTTCCATTTAATATTCCCGATCAGGCACCGTTCAGACTATATTTTCCTATCTAACACCCTTTGCAGAAAGGTGTGTCCCCTGCAGCGCGCTTAACGCTGATTTGGCGTCACGTGGGGTAAGCGCACCCCGTGAGGCGTGCCTTATGTTGACATGGGATACACGTGTGTATAGCACGGCCCCTGGGCGCGCCTTAGGCCACGTAGGGCATAGCGTGGGCAGGGGCCGCGCCTTACCTGTGAATCTGCCACGTGTCAGTAAGGTGCGCCCCCTGCGACGCGCCTTAGGTTTAATTACCCACCTACCCCAACGCTTCACAACCCAATCCCTCCCTATAAATACCCCATCCTCAATCACTTTCATCACACCAAATTCTCTCAATTTCTCTCAACTTCTCTCAAATACTCTTATATTCTCTTCAATCTCTTGAAGAGGTCGCGACAACTCTGTGACACAAAACATTTCATGCCTTCTAGAGAAGCTTATTACAGACATTCCATTTTATGCATAAATTTTTTTTCTGTATATCTGCAACTAATCTAGGGTGATAGACATGACCGCCTTGCATCCAGGTTTGAGCTTGTCCCCCGAGCTTCGCAAAAAGAGCCCCCAAACAAAAATATGTAGTCTTTACCAAAGCCACTACTGGTAAGTGACGTGCACCCTTTAAGGTTGAATTTATTACCTCTGCCAAGTTGGTCGTCATGTGTCTATATCGATATTTACCATCATATGCGTTCGTCCATATTTCTTTATCGATGAGGCTGATGTAATCGTATTCTTCCTCGTTCTTCGCCCGTAAATCTTGAAGCATTGATTCAAACGTTCGAGGAAGTAGTTCGTAACCTGATAAACAAATGTATAACTTACCAACTTGTTTTCTTTGCAAAATTAAAATGATCGAAAGAAAACAAACTACATCAGTTTCACTTACCCATGCACACAATTAATTGACGCTCATCATTCTTTTGTACCTTCCATGGTAGTTCGCAGCAATATGTTGAAGACAATACCTATGTTGGACAAAGGGTGGTTGCCACATTGGACCCAAAGACTCCATTGCTGCTTTGATCCCAGCTCTGCGATCTGAAATGACACATATGTTTTCCCTCGTGATAACATGTGCACGTAAATTTCTGAGGAAAAAAGCCCAAGAATCTGTATTTTCTCTTTCGACAAGAGCAAAAGCAACTGGAAGAATGTTGCGATTGCCATCTTGGACAACTGTCAATAATAAAACTTGATTGTATTTTCCATACAAGAAAGTCTCGTCGATCTGGACCACTTGCTTGCAATATTTGACAGCATTAACGCACTGTGGGTAAGCAAAAAAACCCGGTAAAATTGGCATTGATCGCGAAGAACTCGATCATTATGGTATGCATAGGAGGTTTTGAAGTCCACAATTGTCCCAAGATTCAACCTCCGCACCAGCTTAAACCAACTTGGAAGTTCGTTGTAAGATGCATCCTGTAACATCTTAAAACAGGGTTATTGACTAAAATATGAATTTTGAAAGTTTTGGGTTTAATTTTGAAATAAGTTAAAAGTTCAGGGACTTTATTGAAATATTTTGTGATGGATGATTTAGTAAAGAATGAAAGAAAGAAGGGTAAAATGGTCATTTGACAAGAAATATTTTTATCTTTCTTTTTGTAGGCTATATAAACATGGGAAACGAGGGAAAGTTTCCAGAGAACTCTTCATTCTTCTTCTTTCTCTTCACCGTAAGAGCCAAAGCAAAGGTAAGTTGATTTCATCTTGTTAATTCCTTAAATTCCTTAAATTCCAGAGAACCAAATGATTTCTATTATGTAAAACAACGAATTTTATTTAATGAAAGTTAAAAATTTCATGATTTTTTTAAGAGACAAGTTTTGAAAAGTCAATGTGACATCTCGGATTCGTATTCAGGTCGGATACGGGTTGGGGTGTTACATTTAATGGTATCAGAGCTAAGGTTTAGCCGATTCTAGGCTTAAATCGAAGATAAAAGAGTTTTAAAAATGTGTACATGCCAACACATAATGAAAATTTTATGATCTGATAGTGTAAGGAGTATGTTGTCTTACAAATAGAATAATAATGGTTAATATAGTAGAAATTCAATTGTGAAAAAAAAATGATGAGAGGTAGACCTGATGGTGATAGCCATTCACCTACCATGGCCAGACAGGATAAAGAGCGGACACCTTAGGAAGTGACTCATAAGATTAAAGGTTGATTTCAAAAGTTGAAATCATATTAGAATAGTGATAAAATATCTTCAATGTTTTGAATCAGAAAAGTGACACAGAGTAGTTTTGTTATTTAGTGGATAAGATAGAATATGGTGAACAAGTGTCACCATAGGAGCGTTAAAGATCAAAGGATGCAGTGAGAATTGGTAGAAGAGTTCAAGAATCAGTGTATTAGTGACAAGCGTATAAGATATGTATAAAGTTATAGCTTATGAGTTTAAAGCGAAGGAATAGTTTTGTGTATAAGTAAGAGTGTGTATATAATAAGAGTTGATATTCTAGATGGAAAGAGTTAGCGTTGGCTAACCGAATTATGTGATGAAAATATCTTAGAGTTATCAAGATATTGTCAGGTTAAGTGGATTTGGATACAAGCTAACGATTAATAAGAATGGTATATCGAGGATCACTTTATAAGACATAGAAAGTTGGAATGTTGAGTTGGGCAAAGGAAATTGCATAATGTATAAGGAATGACGTGAATTTGATAAGTTAAGTAAATTATTGATATGTTATTTCTGAATGGGAAGAATGTATACGAATGGTTCGATAAAAGTTTACGTTCTGGATTGGAAGAACTGGTGTAGACTAACAGAGTTATGGGATAGTAGTATATTAAAGTTAAAGGATTAGAAGATAATGTCAGGATAAGCTAACTAAGTATGGTGTGGATTGAGATATGATTATGTATTTTGATTATGAAAAGGTAAAATAGTAAAGGAGATAAGGGAATAATACAATATATGAATAAAAATGTGAGCTTGATAAGTAAATATATTATACTGGTTTGATTTCAACTGAATGGATGTATGTGATTAGTTTGATTAGGGCTTATGCCCTAGGTTAAAAAGTTGTTACTAATTAGTTGTAATGGTATGGATAATAGAGTTATAAGATTTGAAGGAAATATAAAGTTAAGTTAATCAAGTGTGATACGAATTTGGATGTGGTTGTGTATACTCATCATATGGATATGATGTAGGTAATGAGATAAGTATTTATATGTTTGAAGGGAGCTTTAAGGAAGAAGAACAAGTACTTTAACCGATTATGAAATTATTTAAACTTGGTATCTGATGAATTAAGTGGAGGAAATACAAATACAAGATTTGATAAAGAAAGAGGT